TGTGTGTGTGTGTGTGTGTGTGTGTGTGTGTGTGTGTGTGTGTGTGTAGTGTGTGTGTGCGCTAGTGTGCTTATTTGAATTGGTGTATGGCAAAAACGACAATTATCAGGATGCGGGACAGGACTCTAGCTTCACCGACCCCGTTGGCTGACGACGAGTATTTTTTGCCCACGCAGTTCATCCTTTCCACTGGCAAATTCAAGACACTGAACTCCCTGCGAACACAATACAAACAACGATACATTATCATTAATAATCATCATTATTACTATTGCTTGATTTTTATATGAAATTAAAGGCGTAAAGTCGAGTAAACATTACAACTCGTGGAAAATAATAACATCTGTAATATTCAGATGGCGTATAATGATGTAAACCATATACATAAATACATTTATTATATTATTTAATAGTATAAACGTATAAATGTACGTGCTCCATTCAATATTAAAAATTTCAAACCTTTTTTTTTTTAGAAAATGTTATTGTAATGTAATTAGCATGTGTTTGCACGCTTTTGGTTTTAAGCGAATCGGTAATAATATGTCTGTGGAAGCAGATTTGATCGAGATCCAATGATCAAAAACAAATTTTTAATAAGTTAATTTAACGATTTCCCATTCTTGTCAAATTTAATATTACAACGTGTCAATGTATATGTTATATCGAAGTACTATAATGCATTATAAGACAAACGAAGTGAAACGAGTGGCTGACAACAAGCTTTCTCGGAATTTAAATTCTTTACAAATAAAAAAGAAAAGGTAGAAAAATGAATTAACAAAGTTCTTATACTTTATGATTTATATAAAAACTGAACTGGAAATTTAATTAAAATTCTTTAGATTATTTATATAGTGTTTCAAATAATGGTTTATAACTTATTATAGATAGGTACCTACAAGCAACGGACCTACACTTTTCTGAAATGGTATAAAATTGTTAATTTATATAAACTTCTATTTTATATAGTATATAATAAACTATGATAAAAGCTCAAAGTGATTTAAAGTTCATAAAGTTTGTTTCATGTCAACATGTATGTTATATACGCTATATGTGTTATGTGTAGTATAATCATTTAAAAAAATATTATTAACAACAAAACGCATTAGCATTTGTTTGTTTATTTTGTTTTATTTCTGAATAAATTACCATTCAAAAGAATGGAAAATCATTATATCAAAGAACAACATGATTCTGTTTCTGAGCTTTTAACTTATACAGAATTTTTATGTTAATGTTATGTCTGTTCTCGGATTTCTTATATCACGTTTATTTTTATTACATTTGTGGGTGAGAGATTTTGGAAAAAATATTATCATTTATTTTACATTCAAACCATTACTTGTTATTGTTTTAACAAATACTGTATAGATATATTTTTTAAATAACGTTAATTTAAAAAAGATAAGTGTAGTAATTAAGACCAAATTAGAAAGTTATTTCTAAAAATTCATAAGTTACGTATTTTTTATTTAATATACATTAATGAAATGTAAATTATGTAGATGGAGATAATCCATTATTAGGCTTTAAATATATGCAAAAATTGCTGATAAGGTTCACATATCCTCTTTTTAAGAGGTTTTATGAAGACCGGTGCAAACGAATTGTGTCCCAAGATATCTTTTTCATATGAATTGCATCCCGATAATATTGAACAACTACACTAATTGCGTCTAAAAAATACATTATTTTCTTTCTCATTTAATATATACTTAAGACTTATTAACAAAATTAATTAAATATTATAAATAAATATTATATTGTTTAAGGTAGGTTAAAAATATTGTTTTTTATCGTTTCCTATTAAATTATTTACATCCAAAATATTATTTTTGTCGTTAAATATAAAAATAAAAGAATAAAAAAAAAAAAAATAGTAAAAAATTTAAGTTATAATGTGCAAATTACCTGTTGGAAACAGTGCTTACTTTTTAGTTTTTTTAATTTAATGTATGAATTGAATATGGTTTATTAGCATATTCTATTTGAATACAAGTTTGATGCAGTTAGCTTAATAATCATTAACATAGTTTGAAAGTTTGTATAAATGATTTTAATTTTAATTTATAAGATTTTAAAGTGTCCTTCAGTAATCATATTTTACTTATAAAGACTCTCCAACATGCATAACCGAATAATTTCATTATTTTTGCTTAGTGTGTTTAGTATAATTTGAAATTCATAGAAAGTTTTTAATTTTTATAATTTATTTTTATTAAATTTTGTTAATATCATAATGTGATCAGGTATATAACATTAAATATAATAAACCCTATCTAAAAAATAAATAACAATAATATTCTCCACTGTAGATAAAATATAATCGCCATGGTAGTATCAACATATTTTGTGCCGCTAAATTTTGAAGACAATATTTTCGACAAAATATCTAAGTACGACTGAGCTTATAAAATAATTCTATCTGAGGATTTAAATATTATTTATCGCATTGATTTCGCTCAGAACTGTTTTTACATACAATTTTCATTTGAAAAAATACAAATACCACTATCATGACATTCCTCAAATGAAGTTTCAATTATATCGACGTTTAGTATAGAGATTATGGTTTAATTTTTTTTTAAAGCATCATTTGTTATTTAGTATCATCTATTATGAAAGTTGAACAGTACTAGCTTAATTATAGATAAAATAAATATCAACATGGAAATAATAGATTTAAGAGGTGTTTTAGTGGAGGTGGGTATTTCGTTATGAAATTGTAACTATTATACCTATTGAATTTTAAAAATGATTTTTATTTTTTTTAAGCTAGCAGGTTACGATACCACTGTAAATTTAGCTTTCTTTTGGAATTCCCTGGAATATTTGCAGATGGGTGTTGGTTATTGGGTGTTAAGAGGGATGGTATGGCGAGTTAGTCGATTAGTGAAGGGCATAAAACGGAGCTTTGTTAGTTTAGTGATAGCTCATAGTTTTTAAGTTAAATTTTATCCAAGAGTGGATAAGGTCCCGAAAATACATAAAAATTGCATTAGTAATTCAATGTTTTTTATTCATATAGTATTCGGTTTTTTGAGTTAACGCGTGCACTTGTCCCAAAATTGTTCGTATATAAATACTTAATATATACTATTATAATGTTGTTAAATTTTTAAAGAACAAACAACACACACCTGTGTTCTTCTTCCATCAGGCAGAGTATGTGTTTCTTCTGTATGATATCGTCGTCGTCTCGGTGACGTAACTCTTTTAGCCAATCCCTGTACCAGCGCAAGTCACAGTCACAAATCAGCGGATTATCTGTAGAGGTAAAGAAAAATAAATAAAATATTAAACTTTCGAGATTTAGGTATACCTAATGTTTTAAAAAGGGTCATTTTTATCCAACCCAATCGTCTGTAACGTCATAATCCAGTACAGTCGCTTGGAATAATGTCCATTTCAGTAATCATTAATTTTGCGTTATGTTTGGTGTTTCTTTCGATTTTTTTATTTTAGCTGTGGTTTATCTCTCGGAATTATATTTTCTATCTTTCAAAGTTTATATCTGCCTGAGTAAATGGCTTTAATATAAGTACCTAATTATTACATTACATAAAAAATTATTTATATGATTGAGATAGTTTTTTGAGAAATTAGATAATTCTTTGGCAGTACAAAGGGCAGTTCTGCGAAACAGTTGTTTCGTGATTGAATAATGTGGGAGTTTACAGTAAATTTTATTTATTTAATTAGTAATTGTGTATCTAAATCATTAAATGACCAAACGATATTGATAAACTGATAAAGATGTTAATATTATTTAATAATTATCTTTTACCTTCGGCCTATCACCACGTACGTATGGTAAACTATTAGTTATATATCTTATAATATTTGAATCGTTATTATTAATTGTGGTCATAAACTTAATCAGTTATTTAAGACATAATTTATTTAATATAGGTAGATTACAAGTATATAATTATAATGTAAACGACAACTATATATTATAGTTTTATATATCTATCGTAGTAAAAAAATATGTTTTAATAATGGAATAAGTATTATTTTTACATAAATATTTACTTAGAATATTATACGAAGTTAAGTTACGTTTTACAAAGATTAATTTTTTGACTGTTAATATATCTAAAAACCAAAAGTAATACGTTGAAAAATTTTCCACCATATCAGAAAAACTAATAGTCTTCGGTGTTGCATAAAAGTTCATTGGTAGATGAAGACGGAGATCACCTCTCATTAAAATAAAAGAATAAAAAAATATTCCTTAAGAATTTTTTATCTCGCAACTACAAAACATCAATCAAATTATTATGATTGTCTTTGAACAAGTAGAAAAATATTTATACAGCATAATTTTTAAAAATTGAACATCTTTAGCAGTTTGTAAATTACCATAAAGGTCCAAGGTTGTTTTATTAGACGTTTATTAAGAATACAATTTTGAAAAAACCATCTAATGGACTTGAAAAAAAAAAGTTAAATATTATTAAGCAAAATTATGTTATCACCTAATTATAATTTTTTTTCTTTATAATATTAAAAACTATTTATTGAATGTAGTATTACATATTATGGATACATCATATACAGCGAAAACGTGTTGATATTTTAAAATATTATTTCTCTTACAAAACAGTGTATTTGTGTATCAAAGTTAAACCTTTCATAAAAATAAATATATTTTTCTTTTACTCTATTTTTTTAATTGACAGAAGTTGAGAAAAGTGTTGTAGTTTACCACTGAATTCATATTTTATAATTATTAAAATCCGTGTATAAAAACGTGACGTTTGCGTGGAAAAAAACTTTTAAATGATTTTCGAAAACAAAACCGATTTATTTGTCAGTGTATTTACAATTTATTTATTTTTTATTATTTGTTTCGTATTTACGTGGGACTTTTTTGAGTGGAGTGGATAAGTCGGGGGTGAGGGTTGGTTGCATATCCGTTGACTTACCCATAATATCAATAACAGTTGCGGTGTCTACAATTGCCTCGAGCGCTTCTTCCGGCACTCGCGTCAGTTTGTTGTTTTGTAGGTTTAATATTTCCAAAGAATTCAAGTTTTCGAACGCCATCATCGGTAACGTTTTAATACTAAACAAAAATAATCAGCTTACATTTTTGATTGATTGAGCGAAGTAAAATATACTGGGTTTGGTACGACTTACTCGTTTTTTTGCAAATTCAAAAACGTGATCGAATCGCCAAAACCTGTGAAAGCATCTTCAGCTATGTGTGATATGTTGTTTGCTTTAAGGTCCAAGTGTCGAAGTCTGTGCAAACGACGGAGCGATTCGCTTGGTATTGTATGCAAGTTGTTGTCACCCAATCTCAAATATTGAAGATTTTCTAAAAGAAAATATATTATATAATTTTGTGTACAGCGAAGTAAATTATTTAAGTATTTAAAATTCTTATTAGATGTTTTAATTATAGTCAAATTATTTTTTTTATAATAAATGAATAAGTTTGTATTTCTTTTTCATGCATATCAGTATTTTTTTTTTAAAAATCTGGAGATTATAATTGTACATAAATTGCACAATGCGCATAATATAATTAGACTTCTGGGTATACTGTGCTTGACGCTTTTGTATATGACATATGCAATTATATTAATTTTATTTATTATTATCATTCTACTGTTTTATTTAGGATTGTTGCATTATTTCGGTGAAATAAACAAAATTATCATAGTTTACGGTTTTTTATTTAAAATTTAGTACTAATTATAATTTTTCAAATATTTCATTTTTTAATCATTAATTATATAATTCCAATATTTTGGTTAAGATCTTACATTTTTAAAATGTACAGTAAATAATACTATTGGAAAATAATAATGCGTAAGTTGAAGAAAAATATATGAATTAATTTATATTTTATATTTAACAATATAATTGTAGTATTGATTTTTCAATTGACTACCTATTTGAATCAGATTTTAAAGTAGAAGAGCATCGGTTGCATTTACTTCGTCTTCGAGTTTTATAAGAACATGAACTTTGAAAAAAAAACTATAAACATATCAGTTTTTTAGCTTGATAAGCATTTTAAAACATGTATTTCACAAAATATCACACTAAAAACTATTAAACAGTGGAATTTAGTCTCTATAGCGTTTGGAGTAGAGCCATAACATTTTCTATATCCTTTGTTCATTTTTCAGTTTCAGGATCCTAGAAATAAATTAAACGGTCGACTTTGTAATACCAATACAATCGTCAATGTTTAAACGTTACAATAGAGACTCATAACTTTGGATTTAAATTATTTTATAACTATGATAACAATTTATTTTATGAATTAAAATAAAAATAAATACCTATTCAATTAAAATTTTAATAACCTAAATTCGTAAGAGTGTAAAAATAATTTTAATATTGTTTACAATTAGGCGTCCAAGAAACAGTTAGCTAAAAATGGCACAATTTTTTAAATATTTTTCTATGTGTCAAGAATATAGTTCTTTAATATCAGATTTTCATTTTAGAATAGTCAAGGTACAACACTTCAGTGAAATTTGTGTCCATTAGTAATTAACTTGACATCGATATCTTTGCAAACCTTTTATTACCCTAAAAGATGTTCTTCGAAAAAGGATACGTTAATATAAAACCAATATCATTCTCGGATCACTACGGAAATTAAATTCAAGATATTTGAATGAAAAAGTTATGGATTATGGATATTTGTGTATTACAATAATGAAACCTTTCCTGTAAAACATTAATTACTTAGCAATATTTGCATTTTAATATTTACAGTGGATTTTAATGAATTTTAGATTGATTGAATACAAGCAGTTTTATTGATTTTTTTACGAATTTCCCACAGATTTCAATGTAATATCGTAATCTTTGTATAATATTTTATTTTGGAACAAATAGTATGTAAAAACGTAAAGGAAAAGAGAGGTAATAAAAACAATTTAAAATATTTTTTTTTTTTTTGAAAGTACGTGTTCATATATTAAATAATATGATTGTAAGTATTAATTTTTTTTTTTTAATAACTTCATTCGATGTTATTTTGAATACATAATCGTGATTTGCAAATTTAAACTAAATAAATTGTGTTATTTTTGGTAAACATTCGAGATAAATTTAAATAATTGTTTGCTAAAAATGTATGCACAGCTTATTATAATATGCATAGCTTATACAAAAAAAGTACAAAAACATTTAGCGTTATTATAACTGAATAATGCATTGATTATATTTTACTAACGTGTACAAATTGCAGTATTATTTTAGAGTATTATTGTTATTCTTATTTAGAATGTAATCTACATTTATTTTAGGGCTTTAAATCAATCCTATAACTGAGTGCTTCAAATAATACTATAATACAAATAATAATAATAATAAAAAAATAAAAATTAATTACAATCGATTATAAAAATTAGGTATTCGATGTTCATTGGGAAAGTAGTTATTGTATTATATACTTAATATACCCACCTACCATTGATCAATGTTACTAGATTTTATGGAGTTTTTCAAATCTATGAGTTATTTTTTTTTAAATAAAATTTAAGTAGTCTTATATTATTGCGAAAGAAGTACAATTATTATTTACATAGTTAAATTAATATAATATACACGATAAATCACTAAGTACCTTTATTTTTTTTTAAATAATTATGCTTTTTATATCAAAGTAGTAAATTAGGATTTATCTTTGTTAAATAAAAAATATTCTTCATAAAATATAAAAGAGTCGTATCGCTTATCTAAGTATTTGAGAGAATTAACAAAGTATTTGAACCCCCATTTTCCATTTAGTAATAAATTTATTCTAATTCTGATTTTTGAATTTTCAAGTATACTTAAGGTTAATACGTATTATCAAATACTTAGTTTTTTATGCAATTTAAAAAGTGTTCCGTAGCGATACAATTTTTTTTTTCAAATGAAAATCACTCTAATGTATTGTATACTGTGAAAGGATGTTGACACACTATTTGTTTTCTTTCTAATCCAAGTGCATTATATAGATAAAACGTATTCAAGAAAAATAGTTTTTACAATTTTCGATTAATTTTTAAGGTAAATTATCTATAGTAAAAATTATAAATAATATTATTTTAACACGTCTGTTTTTTATTTTATTTTTAAAAAATAAATGTTTTCTAAATTTTAATAGATAATATATATTTTTTTTTTTGAGAAAATATTTAGATAAATAAATATTTTGAATTTCAAAAAATGATGTTTTTTCTTATTTTTGTGAAGGGTAATTTTACTTTTAGATTATTCAAATCCATAAAAAGAAAGTTTTGGATGTATGCGTTTTGTCTATGTTGTGTATGCATCAGAGAAAGAAAATAAAATGGTTCGCTACATCCTATTATGGAGAAAAATATTTGAATAGTTAAAAATTTGATTAGGTCGTCTGTGTTATTAAACTTGAATTACTAAAAACAGTGCTATAATAGTCCATTCTGATATGGGGATTTTGAAATTTATAGTAAATTTCATTAATTTATTGGAATTTTATAATTTGTTAATAAGTTTACGATTATAATATTATGTAAATTACCTATAAGACTAAATATTGAATCTTAGATTTTATGTAAAATTATTGTTATGGATCATTTTATCCTAAATTATCAAAGCATGCTATCTATCGAATTTAAATTTTTTTATTTAATAGCCATTTGTATTAATCTATGGTAGCTCAATAATTATAAAATAATTTTGATTTATTTTTATACAAATTTAAATTTTCTAAAACTTTTATATAATTACATACAAAATATTACATTTCTAATAATTTTTGTAAAATTAAAGTAAAAAAAAGTATGTTTACATTTCAATAAAATTACAGTTATTAAAATCTGTTTATTTGTTATTTTAAAATTCCACGTGGTCAATGTAAGTTAGTTAAAATTTTAGTTAATATATCTGAATAATTAAAGTTGATTATTAATAATATAATTAAATTCGTGTGGTTTCAGCGAAGATGAGTAAAAAACCGAAATTATCGTCTATTGATAACAGACTTCTTTCACGGAAGGTATTATAGATAGGAATACAGTATGCATAATAATACATTGTACGAAGCCACTGATCAAACAGGATTGGTGAATATTTAGAATATAATATTATAGTATAAAACTTCAATAATTTATGCGGGACAATAATTATGTTCGTAATGGGTCTGTAATGAAGATACGACTAACATCTGCACAAACAATAATGGTTGTTATATTCTCGCTCCTATTATTGTTGTTATACAATATGTTTGGTATATTATAATATTCTTTAAAAGTTGTTAAATCAATATTGCATTATGTTAATAAACTATTTCTATATCCATTCTCGCGTTTATTAATTGTTGTACATTAATTAGGTTGTATTTTTAACATACGCGTATTACATGACATCGTTAAAACGTTAAACGTTCAACTACTGCGATTTCTTCCGTTTGAACGAAATGTAGATAGCAAAGATAAATACTAAATAGTATTATATACTGTTTAATTAATCATAAATGTCGAAGTTGAACAATATGTTTACGAATCATAACAAATTATTGAAATAGGTCTTTCGAGAGCTTAGGTAAACATGAACAAAAACAGCTTTTCATTTAAAAGTACACGACATCAGTATTTAAAGTGCAACGCATTAATTATTGTTTATTCAGTGAAGAGTTCAATAATTCATTATTGCAACATTTTTGCCTATCGTTTGTAAAACTTATATTTTTTATACCTATTATAAAACTTCATGTAAAACTACTTGCCGATACAGGCGTTTTTATTGCATGCAGATCGGACATAAATTCATTTTTTTATTCGTTTATATTTTTTTTGTAAATTAAATTCTATTGTTTATTGTTTTAAGTCTGATTTTTGGAATTTTTTAATTTTAATTTTAATGTAATCATGTAATGTCAACACACCATTTTTATTTGTAATGTTTGTGTTTTTTTAATAATTGTTTCAGCGTATTGGTATACTTTCATATTTAGTGTATAATATTATTTCAAAGAAATAATTATCATTATAATATAGTAATTTGAAAATTAAAAAAGAAAAATTAAAGATTATTTTGTTTCATTTCATTCTGGTATAATTTCAGTTAAAAAAACTGAAAATCTAAAAATCAGATAGTTTAAATTTATATGTATAGAGCAGTTTATTAATTTACTAAGCATTTTTTTTTTTTTTTTTTATTAAGTTATTAATTTAATAGGATTCTGGGTTTTGAAGTGGATACATATATGTACTAAAAAATTGTAATATTATCAAATATTTAGAGTTAATTATAGTACCATTTAATTATTTTAATTATTTAAGGAGTGTCTAGTGGTGATAATTTTAAAAAAGAACTATTTTATTT